ACAGATTTACACCAAGAATTGAGAACATCAAAAATATACAAACAACCACAATACCCACATTGAAGATAGCTCCCATTGAAGAAAGAAGAGCTATGACAACAGTCTTCATAGAAGAATTATGTGATATAAACCTTAAAGGCCTTAGAATACGCAAAAGTCTTAGGATTTTAATAATTGGTAGGTTTACACCACTAAAAGTGGCATCAATAAGAGAGGTCACAACGATGAAGAAATCCATCTGTGACCATGTCTCTCTCAAATAGGAATTTTAATCTTAAATAAATCCATAGGCTATACATTTCAGCACGCATTCTCCAGTAAACAAAACAGTAAAAGCTAAATCAAATTTGCCAGAAATAACAACCTAGGGATCATCATCAGGCGCGTTAAACAAGTAAGTATCATAAATTAGCTTAATGCTACTCAAGATAATTAGCACAAGAATAAAGTTTTCGAATTTGTTGTTAGTCACTATCTTGTATGAGTAGATTCTAATAGGATTGGTTTTAGTAAACATATATATTGACCTTTCGCAACCTACTCCCTCAAATAACCTACTTTTTTCCCTGATAGTTTATTGTTTTTTCAGCTCAAGTGCTTCCATATCAATTTCAACAGATTCATCAAGAATGTTTGTCTCTACAGCTTCTCCGGGCTTTGCCTTCTTCTTCTTTTTCTTCTTTTTCTTTTTGGCTGCACCTCCATGGTTATTATCTTATCCATCAATCTCCTCTAAGCCAGTAATAAGTTCCTCACCTGCTTTTTCTTTTAACAATTCGCGTTTTTATTTTTCTCGTTCTGCTCTTTTCTCTGGAGTATCATGATCTTCCTCATCTACTGAAGTAAAAGCATCTAGCAGAATAGCTAAGAATAAGTTCAAAAGCATGAAATTTCCAACGAATATACAGCTAATAAAGTATACAACAGAAATGGCTTTATTGACATCTGATTGCATAGCATTAAATAGTACAGTATTCCAATTTTCCATTGACAACAAAATAAATGATGTGACGAATGCTTAATTGAAAGAGTCAAAGTTATATCTTGAAGCATTTTAAAGATTCTTGAAATTACCTCCAAAAAGTTGCATTCCAAGAAGGGCGAAAATAAAGATAAATAGGAAAAGCAGCATTCCCAAGTAGACAAAACTAGAAAGGGATCTCTGAATAACCTAAATAATATTGATCATAGATTTCATTCCTCTAAGCAAACGAGCAACTCTCAAGACTCTCAGAGTCCTAAGCATTCTTATAGATCTAAATGCACTAAACGCTCCACTTCCACTCATAAATACGAGTTCAACAAGAGACAAAATAACTATAAAACCATCCATGTAATTCATTTTATCTCTTAACCATTTGACGAGACCAATGGCTGCAATTTTTAAGAACATTTCAATGCTGAAAACAATAGTGAAAAATGTGTTAAAGCTACTCAAGATAGATTAGGTGTCAGCATCAATACCGTATCTATCCATAGATAAAATGATAGTGTTAGCAAAAACGCAGAGAGTCATAAGATTTTCAATTAAAGAGTGCTTCATTACGTTCTTAAGTAGAGTTCTCCATCTCTTAAAGTATCCATAGCATCCATGGGGCCAAATTCTAATCTGATTTAAGCTATCTAGTGCAATTTTTGCTTTATAAGGATCAAATCTGGTCATTATATCTTAGCCGCTCCATTCAACATTATCTATTTTTCTATTTAATGCCTCAGCTTTAGCTTTAAACACCTCATCATAGTTTTGAAAGTCTCTATCAATATAAATATCATCCTCTAGACCATCTAAATCTTGGCTTGTGTCAGATACTTCTTCTTCTTCGTGCTCCAGCAACAAGTTATTCTTATTTGGTTTCTTTTTGGGATTTTTCTTAGGCTTTTTTTTAATATGTATTTCTTAACCTTCCTTTCTTTTGATCACATCTGGAAGTTTAGTAAAGTTTACTGACTTGAATACTCTCGATCTTTTAATCTCATTATTGAGTCTCTTTAATATTTGCCGATCAGTCATCATTTCTGGTCGAGGCAGCGTTAAAATTGCTGCTATTTATGTTTTCCCTAGACCACTTCCGGTTATTTATGGTCCAGCAGAAACTGCCCTTTTATTCGTGCTTCCTTAGTTTGAGTTTGTTTATTATCTCCTCAATGGTTATCTTTTTCTGCCGGTTAGTGCCCCTGAATTAGGTATTTAAGGGCCTCTTCATGACATATTAGATCCTGGCCTTTGCATTTAAACATTCTTTATATTTTCTTTTCTAACTGAGTGCTCTTGGGATCTGATGACACTACCTCCTCCAAGGGAGCCCATTGACATATTTTAATCATAAATTGACTCTTTGCTTTCTAACCTCTCAGGTTCCCCAAAAGCACTGATAAATATATTGTTGTTGTTAATTGTATTGTTAAACTAACTTTGATTCATCATATTACTTGCGTTATAATCAATTTGATGTTGTGGATGATGATTAGTTTTAAATTAATCCGGATGAATGTTGTAATAGTAGTTTATATTCATCATTTTATTTTCATGTTTAGGCTTATCAAATACTATAGATAAAGTGCCAGTAACATAAATATCAGATTTGTGAGTCTTATTATAAAGATCTTCTAACTTTTTTAATGCTTCATCCTAGTTATCATCTGAGTCTTTGATTTCTTCAAGGTCTTCATGATACCTCTTTGGCTATAACAGTAGCTTCTTTTAAAAACCTTAAACAATTGTTGTTTATTTTTCTTTTGCCTTGGCAACAGTTTCTTGTAAATTCTTTTTTTTTATTTTTTCCAAATTAGTTTTTTCATCTTCAAAATCATTATCATCTCTTACTTCAAAAACATCATTAATCGAGTTGAATTTATAATTCTTCAGTTTAAGAGAGATTTTCTTTTTCTTCTTTTATAGTACTTCCTCAACATCTGGAATAGGCTCATCTTCTTCTACTATTAATTTTACCTCATCTTTCATTTACCTTAACTCCTTCATAAATTCTTGATCCATAAAAGATGGTTTCTTTGCTACGTTTTCAAGTTTAGGCTAGCTATCAATTATTTTTTGCTACATTTCATTTGTCATTGTACCACTTCTCATTAATCTTCTCTTCTGAAAGTTCGATTTATTTTAGTTTGGCATTTCAAAACCACCTCCTAAGCTGATAAATCTTTTTTAGAGTATCTTTTCATTTTTTTCTTTCTTTAATTAGAGCTTAGATTTACCAATTGTTCTGACTGACTCAGCAAAAAATTAATTTCTCTTTTCTCTCATCACCTCAATTCTTTTATTAAATTCTATGGTCTCTTTATGAAGTTCCTTTCTCCTATTGAATTCTGATTTTGCCCTTACTGTAGCTTTTGGAGATAAAACTCCCTCATCAGTATTAAAAGTTTTACTTCCTTTTGGACTTTATTCATATTGGCTTTAAGATCTAGTTGGTTTCTTAGAGAAGCTATTTTTCAAACTTTATTTAAACTATGAAATGGTCATGTTAAGTGACTAATTGCTATCAGATTTTTAAGTCTCTTTTTTCATCAATGCTTCTTTCTCATCTTTTTTCTTTTTAGGTGAGGATTTCTTGAATAATGACATAGCTTTTTCTTTGAATGACTTTTTAGGCAATTAAATTTCCTCCTTTATCTCTTCTTATATTTCTTTAAGTCCACCATGCTTCATAAATTGCGTCTTTCTTCTTTTAAATCCAGCTGGTGGCTTTTTATTAGGAGCTGATAACTTTGGTGGAAGTCTAATTTCAGCTGGCTCCGAATTTGATTCACCATCAATTAAAACTTTTTTATCTTAATTATTTCTTTTAGTGAAGGATTTTGCGTCATTAGTAGCAACAGTGGATTTTCTGTCATATTTGTCGATGCTATGGCCATTAGAATTCATCATTCTAGTTCTATCATCTATTAATTCCATATCTCCAATCATCATATCAACCTCTACATTTTTAGGACTTTGATCTTCATTAGAAAGCTCATCATCCCCGAGCCCATCTTCACTATCGACAAACTCAAATATATCGAAGTTTTGTTGAAGCTTTTCAAAGGCAGCCTTTTTCTTATCTACTTCAGTTTATTCTTATTCCTTTGTAGGTGTCTGCATGTTTCCAGCAAGACCTAGTTTCCGATTTTTTATTCCAGCAAATCCACTCATAACAACTTTGCTGCTAAGATTAACAGAGTTATCTCTCGAATTTTCTAATTCAAATACTTATCCAAGCCAAGTTGAGACTGTCTAATACTTATTCTTTTGATTGCCAGATTTCTTAATCCCATTAATAGCCTGCATATTGTTGATTTTAAACCTAGGCTTAGAATCCTTCTTATCCAACTCATCAGCTGTTAATGCTGCTTATTACTTATGCTTTCTATCATCTTCTTCAAGAAGTACTGATAAATCATGAGATTCATCATCATCCTCTTTAATAGTTTCCTCAGCTTTTATTTTGAATGAAGGTTATTTCTAGCTTGCTTAACCTACTTTTCCTATTTTAGTTTCCCATTACTAATTAAGATTTTCATATTTCTCTGTAAAGTCTGAGACCTATCTTGCTTGCGCTCCCTAGACAAGTCTAGAATTGAATAGATCTCCGTAATTTGGCAAGCTGAAAATCTTCGAGTTTGGACTACCTTCTGAATCTAGTCTACTAGATATCTTATTTTTTAATCTGCTTGATTCTAATGTAACATTATCTCTAGGCGTGATTTTATCTTTAACTTCTTTTTGCTTTAATGCGACTTCCATCTTCTTGATTAGATCCTCAAGCTTTCTTTTTTATTTAATTGCTCTTTTTTGCTCAGGTGAAATCCCCTTATCTTCTTCTATCTGTTAAATAGTCATACCTTCGATTCTCTCTTTTTATTTCTAGTCGTCATCTCTGCTATCATCATCATTTTACTCATTCTAATCATGATCTGAATCATCAACACCTTTCTTTTTTATGATCTTTTTCTTCTTTTTTGGCCCATTTTCCTTGTTTTTTCTCATTTCCTCAGTGAATTTACTCTTAATAACGGCTAATGTTAAATTTAGCAAGAAAAAGGCGCCAATAAAGACTATAGGAATAAAGTAAGCGATAACCCAGGTTGCCACAGCTTGCTCAAGATCCCTCATATTTGATGTCCATCCTTCCAAGGTGACAGTTTAGAAAATCAACAGCATAGCATAGAGTACATTATCGAAACTTGTTGCTCCACCATTCGGATTTTCATTGCTCTTACCGCAAAATTAATTTGCCCTACAATCTGTATCAACAGCACATATTACATTAGGTTTTACCCTCAATCCTGTCTCAATCCAGAAACATCTGTTCTTTAGCTCACCAGTAAATAACTGGACACCAGCAATTGCAAAGATAATAAAGAAGAATAAGAGCACAAGTATGGTATCTCTAAGCAAGGGTAGAGAACTAATAAGTGCTTGCACGATGATACGTAAACCCTAAATACTTGAAATTGTTCTAAGAGGTCTGATAACTCTGAATGATCTAAGCACTGATAGATTTGCACCTCCTCCTTAAAATATGTATCCAATATAGCCACTCATTACTATAATAAAGTCCAAAATATTCCAAGAATCTCTCAAATAAGAACCTTTACCAATTATAAAACCCATAGCCAAAATTTTCAATACCATTTCCACTGTATAAAGTACTTAAAATATTAACTCACTGAACTCAGCATAAACAGGAGGGTCAGTAGCCAATGGATCATCAAGAGCTAGAAACATAGAGTTAATAACGATAACAAAGATTGAAACTGATTCGAAAATACCATTAGTAATTATAGCCAACGCGAATCTATTAATGTATACTCTTAATTTCATAATATCCTTTCTTAGATTCAGACATGGACATCTATCATGATAAGACTCTACCACTTCAATGGAATCTTTATCAACTATTCTATAAAACGAATCATCATTTTCGATCATTTCATCATGAAATCTGACATCCTCTTTTTAAATAACTACACCAATTTCTTGCTAGATCTATATTTTGTTTCCTGCTACATTTGGCATATAGAGTTGCTTTTTTAGAACTGAATCATCCAAAAGACAAGATCGTTCCACCTCACTTTCATCAGCTAAGTCATCCATTTCTGTATTTTCTTTGTTATTTTTATTACTTCCTAGGGTGAGTACAGTCATTTAATTCAACTTACTAGAATGTTTTTCTGTAGATGATTTATTTAAAAGCCCTGCTCTTACATTCCTCGAAGGTCTTCTCTGCTGCTAATGAATCTTCCCTATCGTGCTGAATTAGAAGTAGTCATCCTCCCCGCTTTTAAGATCTTCTAATGATTTTTTCTTGTTTTTTAGTTCAGTGATGATACTGTTAGTTTAAATTGGTGTAACTTTATTAGTTCTTAGGCTTTTATTATATTCTTAAAATTGGGATTTAGGTGGATCAGTTGGTGTCTATTTACCTCTAAGTATTGGAAACATCTTTTCTCTTTCTTATGACTATTCTTTACTTTAGTCAATGAAGTTAATTAATTCATTTCGATTGTTTGCAGTTATAACTGTAGAATTTTACTTTGTATTTTGAGCTGTTCTCTCATCTAATTGTAACTAAGACATGGTTTCTGGCTATTTTTATTTGTTATTTTTATTTCTAATCAGATTTTAATTTGACCCCTGTTTAATTAGTCTACGAGCAGAGCTTTCATCAACATCAACATCGTTATCTTCAACAAACTGAGGGTTTTAATCAGATCGCTGTATAGCAGAAACCATTGAATCATCATTAAAGAGACCTTCTTCATCCTTTCGTAGAGATTTTTCCCTTCTATATCGATCCACCTCATAACTGTCTTCATCTAATGTCAACTCGGGTCCTTAATTTGAAACCTAGGAAGGTCCTCTTTTATCTAAATTAGAATTATTATTTTTACAACTTATTGACTGAAAATGGTAGAAAATTTGAATTTGAATTTTTAAACTTACGACTCTGATTGTTGGTCTTGTTTTATGGCTAATTTTGAGCAAGATGATCTATCTTTGGATTCTATTATTTACCATTTTAAGGTTACTGCATGCTTTTGCCATTAGTATTTGTAGATATGTAATGAGCTGAATCTACTGCATTTCTATCCTTTTCTGGAGGAGTTAATTTCTGTGCTGCTTCATGGCTTTTACCATTGTAGCTCAATCCGTTCAAATCTGATATTGGATGAACTATGCTTGCATTGTTGATGCTAAACTATGATTAAGGATTTCGATCAGGAGAGGCCTGTCCTTTATTAATGCTCTATGGAGCTGTTTTATCTGTCTCGCTCTTTCTGTATTAGGGCTAATTATTTTATTTAGATTGAGATTTCTCTTCATTTTTCCGAATTGTTAAAATACTAGGGACTGGGCCTGCCTTATTACTCTAGGTCTCAGGAGCATTCCTATCTTAGTCTTAATCTTGACTTAGAATCGGTGAAAGCATGGCATCAGAAATATTTGGATAGGGGTAAGTTTGAAGCTTATAAGCAAATTTATGATTATTTATGGAGTTAGCCTATCTTGCATCTTAGGTCCCCTCTGGGAAACTCAAATCCAAATGTGATTTACTGTTTTCTTTTTAATTTTGATTTCCACTAGAAGTTTTTCGATTTTATCTAAAGCTATCGACCTCCTTATCAGATATATTGTCATTATCTAGATCTGAAGGCAGAACAAATGAACTGCTTGATTATTCTCTTAATATATGCTCTTTCTGTGAAGATTTCATATATTTTTATTTATTATTTATCACTTTAATATTTGCGAAAATACCTTAAATATATTATTTTTCATTTCAAAGATTCCATTTTCGTTTACTCACTTGGGGTTTTGGGGTTTTGGGGTTTTGGGG